ATAGAAGTGGGATATCAGGCTGGGTAGCCACGCCACTTGACTCAGACAATAGGCGTGCTGGGGCTGATGCATCATATTCACTGTCATCAACTTCGTTTTGCGGGGATGCCACGAACAGTGGCATATGGAGGCGGAACAAGCTTCAAGGCCTCCTTGTGTCGACTGGCACGATGACGCATGGGCGCCGTATCGAGAGTCTCAACCAGTTCCTGCAAGCGTTCGTGTTCCACCACACAGTGTGTCTCGGCCCGGCAATACAAAGCAAAAGTCACAGGCCGATATGATCCACACACAACTGAGAATTGAGGAAACAACACCACCGACAATTTGGTCCTCAATCCACAGCAATTGAGTATTGTGTCTGACAACAAGCACCATACACCTCGATTAAAGCAGCCTGACATGTGGCAGCCATATCGTAGACGTTGTTCGTTGCCCAAGGTGTGATCTGCAAGTGTGCTCGACTGGAACAGCCGCCAACAATCTTGCGATTGTGTTGAAGCAGCTCAACAGCATCAAAGTGCCCACATGGGACGAATTTGCAGAGATGACCAGGACACTCTGCTGACAGTATGTCTTTAAGTGATAGGTTTCACGGTTTCACAGTTTCACAGTGCCATCACCATCATCATGATCATGATCATCATCATGAACCATCATTTCGACCTAGATTGTTATCGGCAGTCGTTGGTCGAGTCGTTGGTCGTTAGTCGTTAGTATGATTGTCTGTTTGTTACACAGCATACAACGTACGGTCCTACGGAGTTGTGAACTGTGGTTTCACTTTCTTAGTTCAATTCAGGACAGGTGCATTGCCCAAGTGCCACATTCATGTGTGGTGTCTTTCCGGCGATTGTGGTCCGGATCAAGCAAGCTTCCGGGCGTCTATTCGGACTGTGCTCGCAGCACCTGCCTTCTGGAACCAATGGGTCTTCGAGGTTCCCTGCCTGAAGCATCAACTGCATCTGATGTGCAAGGACTCGTTGCGACTGCTTAACCAACTGCTTGAAGAGAAGGGCAGAAGCTATAACTACTTCGGCTCAGTGGCGAAGGTATGCCATACGTGGCGTGCTCACGGCGCCAAAATCAACCAGACGTGGAACGTAATCGTTCCTCGAGCATTTGAATTCAAAGCTTCCTGCACGGTCCCTCCTTTAGCTGTCGCTGGAAGATGGGGTTCCATTGATTGTCGCTCGTCTGCGTGAAAGGCCGAATAATGCTGGCGGCATTCAGCTATGATCTCAGCTCTTAGTACTAGTTGTTAGGTGTTCTTAACTTCAATGTTTCTGGTTGAGTTGAGGTGCAGAGGAATATTTCCTTCATGCTGCTACTCCTGATTACGTCGTGAGAACATTCCTTGCAACCTTCGCCACGGGGGAGTACAATACATACTTGGAACGAAACGCTCAACGTCAAGACCAGCCGGCGCTGGAACACGATGTGGACGAACTGGGCCTGGAAGAGGCAGCTGAATACCGGTCAAAGGTAACCAAGTGGATCAAAGGCTCATTGCTTTGTTTGCAAGATACGCTGTTTTGGTTCCTCTTGCAAGTATCCTTCATGTCGCGGTCACCCTTCCGCCATATGTTTGCTATCCTGAGCAAGTACAGTGGCCATGCGTCGAAGAGAATCCGCAATCCGTGCACGGACTGTGAAGCGCATGAACTGCCCATAGTGGATCTTGTGACGGTTCGTCTTGCGCAGCTTGATGACGAATTTCAAGACCTGCGCAACAACATACCTTGCTGGTGCGAACGAACCCTTGCGTCTCTGCAAGGGATGATCTGCTGGGATGCAAACCATGCACTTTTACTGGAAGATTTGCAGCATATGGCCATGCGGGTGGTGATGCTGAACCACGCCTCTTACAAGCGCAGGATAGTGGGCTTGTTTTCTCAGACCCGTGTCAGCAAGTCCATCTTTGTACTATAACCCGGCCCGATAGTATTGACAATTGACAGAATCCATATAACACTCCAGACTCTAATCTCTAATCGGTCCACATCATCATCATCATCATCATCGAATCATCGGCCTTCTTGCAGAACTATTGCAGGTGGCCGTTCCGTATCTTTTGGATGTTGAAGAATGCGCCTCAAGATGCATGCGACAAGCGCAAAGGCGGCGGCCACTTTGTTAAGTTATTTGTTAATTAGGCTTAATTAGGCAGATGCTTGAATTGAACTTCCGAATTATCCTGTCCTCTCAGTCATGAGTCATGAGTCATGAGTCGTCAGGCGTGGCACGTGAGTTATTGGACAGCAGCGAGCAAGTGCTCGAGTGCACGACGCGGAAAATCCGTACATCATGTTGGGCAGAACTCGAAGAGGTCGCGGTGACGGGACGTCTCCGCATGAATGGCCGCCTCAGAGCTTCATTGCTGCTCAGCGCTAGCTTGCTGCGACTGGATGTGCAGGAGCTGGAGTCTTTAAACAGTATGGTTAAACATCAAGTTGCAAGATCGGGCAACAACAGGATCACACTGGAGCTCCTATCTTCAAGGGTGCTCACACGGAAGCTGCTGGCATTGCATGCAGTCGGCTGGCGATATAAGGACGTGGTGCCGGTCGCGGCGGCGTTTGCCAAATCTGCATATCTGCAGCACGGGCCGCACAAAGAGTATTTGGCAGATGAAGCACGATGGCACACTTGCGGAGAAGCGCGTCTCACACCTGCTGATCCCGCAGTATACAACCCAGCTGCGAGACCCACCCCAGAACACTCATGGGCCCTGAAGTACAATGCAACTTTCATGAAAGCAGTGAGGGCACACAACAAAGATCACTCGGACACTTGGATTGCACTGCTGGTGCCAACAAGTCTTTGCTGTGATCATCAACCAGCGGACGAAGCAGAGTTTGAACGTTGGATATGTTGTGGAGTGACTCGGTCACAGGCAATGCTCTTCCGACAGGAGCCAGGGGGTGCAACCTCCTCGTTTATGCTCAGTGCGCAGCTCATTGCGAAACTACACAGTCGTGTAGCTGAAAAGCGGCATCACAACATCCTGTACATACAGGAGGTTTCCATGCCAGGGGCTGTCGCTGCTGGGGCTGTGCAGGAATTGTGTCGGCTACGTGCTCGGTACCAGCGGGCGGAAAGAACGGATCCATTGGATGATCAGGACTCAGGTGGCGACGGCGATGACCGTGATCCCGACGGCATCGATGACGACGCTGACATGCTTGGGGACGACGTCGACGAGAATATGCCGGGGTCCCAAGGCCAGGAAACGAACCGCCTAGACAATGAACAGCTCATGCGTCTGTTGCTGGGGTTGGATGACTTTGGTGACGAAGCGAACGATGAAGATGACGTAGATGACATGGCTGAGCTGGAGGGCTTGAACGTGAAGATCGCGGCAACAGCGGCAGACATGAAGCTTCCCGGCATGGGCACCAAGGTGGAAGGTCGCCATGACGAGCTTCTTGCTGCTGAAGCATCCAGTGTGTTGGCACCAGTAGATCAAGAGACAGAAGCCTTTCTGCAAGAGCTTTTTGTGAACGGGTTGGGCCAAGCTTCCATCAACGAGGACGAGGTGCATTCCTCCAGCTTGCGCCCGGATGTCGTAACTGATCAGGGTGATCAAGCATCAGGTGCGGCAACCCAGCCGCGCACTGTAGATGATGACGATGCCAATTCGTTCTGGCAGAAATGGCAGGCTGCGATGCGGATGACTTGCGAAGCTCTACAACATCGTGACAGAGAGTGCACGAGACCGTTGGGCGACAACAGCATCCGGGCTGCCTAGGGCCTAGGGTTCATGTTTCTACTTGCCGATAGTGGCAGGCATGAGCCGTGGGCTGTGTTTAATTCACGAAGTCACTCGTTGTTAGTTGTTAGTGTTTTTTGTTTGATAGTCCCTTGATGTTTCACAGTTTCACGACCGGGCCCATCTGATTGGTCCTTTGGCGAACCTGGCTGTAGTACAAAAAGTACAAAACGGAAAAATAGAGCTGCTTCATAAGTGGGTCTCACTGTCTCACTGGGTTCACGGTGAGACGTTTCACTGGTTTCACAGTTTCCCAGTTTCACCTTTACAGTTTCACAGTAGAGTCCGGTCAAGCCGCCGATCCAGTCTCACAGAGTTGAGTTTCACTTGTTGATATCTTCCTCTCACTGGGTTCACTGGTGAGACGTTTCACTGGTTTCACAATTTCACCTTTTCACCGTTTTACAGTAGAGTCCGGTCAAACCGATCCAGTCTCACAGAGTTGAGTTTCACTTGTTGATATTGATATATTTCCATTGTCCCGTAATAATACTAGATCAGTTGTAGACTTGTCTACCAACCCCTTTTTGCGTGCGAGGCGAGCCACATGTGGCGAGCTTGCAAAAATCCAAAAGGTACCCTAATCCCTATCCCGTGTGCTTTACCTCACCCTAAGCACCGGTATTTTGGTGTGACCATTTCTTGTGTCGTGCCATTCTGAATGCTTGGCTTATCCGTGACATTCATCTCAAGTGGTGGGAGGGCGGGACCGCCAAACCGTCTCGACAAAGTTCGTGACGGGGGTGTGCGGTTAGAGAGCCGTGGAAAGCCTTGGGGCCAGTAGCGTGCATCTAGAAGGTTCTTGTGCTCCTAACACGAGGTGCTGTTAGGTTGTGCACGCCGTTTGGTCCCGTTGACCGCGGCAGATGGATCAGGAGTGGCTCTCCTTCGGTGGAGCTCATGAAGCATCCGGAAGTCCGGATGGCTTGTAGCTGGGATAAGCAGAGCTCGTGTGTGACATTTTTGGGAGTGCATTCATGTTTACTCACGCTTTATTGCGAGTGCTGATCTAGGCTTTAAAAAAAATTTTTTTCTTTTCACTGTGAGGCCTGATCATTCGGTCGTGGTGCGTGTGAAGTTGCTGTGGCACTCAATACCTGGTCACACTTGGCTCGCTCTTGAGTTCGGTAGAACTTTCCTTTTGACGGTTACGTGAGCACTCTTTGTAGCGTAGGGTGGCTTCGGAGGCGCACTTTCTTAGTAGATCAGGGCATCCTTTTGAGCCTACATGGGAGACGTGCCTGTGGATGCCGCTGCACTTGATGCGCACTTGTCCTTTTGCATCAGATCGAGTCACCAGTCGTCTTTCAGACCTACGTGGGAGACAGTCGGAGAGCCCACGAACTTAGTTTTTCGTCTCCCTGCTGCAAGGGGACCGTTGCCGCTGATAGCAGTACCTCGAGCTGAAGCGGCATCTTCCGGGTCCGGCAGTCAGGCCAAGAGACCGGGTGTTTCGGGAGACTCTCCATTGAAGATGGCTAAACATTGGCACGGGATTTCGTGGGAGTACAAGCTGGAACGAGAGCTGGTCGCGGGTATCAGGAAGTGGGGTGTGATTATTATGCACTCCCCTCTGAGCTTTGGTATTGGCCGGCGTCTTCGGGGTGAGCAAAGACTTGAACCACTCATCTTGGAAAGCCTCGGTCACATTTTTGCTGGGAAGGCAGCTGGTACTCTGCATCAGAGGGCTGGTCCGATGCTTAGGTATATCCGCTGGAGTGTTCAGGCCGACGTGGACCCTTTCCCACTTGAGGAGGGGCAGGTATACGAGTTTTGCAAGAGTTGCGAGTTTTCTTCTGCTCCGACTTTCTTGAGGAGCTTCATTGTATCCATATCTTTCGCTGTGCACGTCCTCGGTGTCACAGGTGGAGCCGATTGCTTGATCAGCGGTCGGGTGATTGGCATAGCGAGGCTCACCTACCTTGCAAAACGCAAGAAGACTCGGAGGCCGCCACTCACGGTGGCTATGGTAGCTTTCTTGGAGAACCTTGTTTGCGATCCGACTGCCAGGGCAATTGATCGAATCTGCGCGGGTTTCTTTCTTTGCTTGGTGTTCATGCGAGCCCGTTTTTCAGACGGGATGAACCTTGGAAACTTGCAGTTGGACACTCCGAGTGGTCTAGCCACTGAGGTGGCTGGATACTTGGAAGGAGAGGTGCTTCGATCAAAGACGTCTTTCACGACCGAGAGAAAGACGATGCTTTTGCCCATGGTCTGCCCACGCTTAGGTGTCACAGGACTCGATTGGGCAGGAGTGTGGATGAAGCTCCGGGAGGTTCACAAGATGCCGACGGGCAGCGGTGTGCCGCTGCTCCCTGGTACAGGAGCTTCGGGAGAATGGCTTCTCGTTCCACCGAGTGCCACTGTAGCTGCGTCTTGGCTGAAGGGCATTTTGAGCAAAGGAGGTTTTGATCATGGGGCTCTCGCCAAATTGGGCACTCATTCGTGTAAGTGCACTACCCTCAGCTGGTGCGGTAAATTTGGTATCGATCAAGCGGTGCGTCGTACCCTCGGATACCACACCGACCGAGCTGCTGCGATGGTCATTCTTTACTCTCGTGATGAGATTTCGAGTGCTGTGCGAGCTCTGGAGAGAGTCCTTGTTGAAATCAGGGAGGATCGTTTCAGGCCTGATGCCACTCGGAGCGGACATTTTCCTTGTGAGGTGGCTGCGCCCTCAGCAGAGACAGAGGGTGATCCTCCCGACTATGAGTCCAACGGCGGAGTGAGTGAGTCGGAAGATTCACAGGACGAAGAGGACAACGTTGGCGATCTCGGAGCCGAGGAACGGGCTCTGGAGGAAATTGGGGCCCCGTGGAGGCCACAGGGCGCTGCGAGTGATCGCCGCATGTTCCGGCACAAACTCTCGAGGATCATTCATTTTGTGGCCGACGAGGCCGGTGCCACTTTTGCATGTGGAACAAAGATCTCTTCGAATTACGTTGAGATGGACAGTGGAGTTTCTTTCTTGCATCCTTTGTGCAAGAAGTGCCACCCGGTCCGATAAGAGCTGGTCGGGCTGGACCGGAGTGGGTTTGGGTTTGCCACATCCAACCCAGTAGATGAGCTGGCACGGGCTCGGGTTGGGTGAATGCTGGTGCCTCCACTCGCATGTCGGCTGATTCGGGCCCGAGCTGGAACTTTGGGCACAGCATCGAAAATACCTTTTGATGGCCTTGAAGGATCGTGAGAGTCCTTCTTGGATACATGAGTGCAGCGCTAGAGGATCGCTTGGATCCGGGGCGATTGGACCTTAGCGAGGGGCAAGACTTTGTGTTGACGTGCTTAACAGTGACTTGGGTCATTATGGATCGCAAAGTCTTGTCTCGTTTGAGCGTCGAGGCTATGGCATGCAACAAATACAGGGTCCTGTGATGTGTGCCGCGCGGAATGCCGAGAGAAGTGCTAAACTTTTGCAGAGGTGCTGTAGAGCAACAGTTTACAGAGGTGAAGTGTAAATACTGCGCGAGCAAGTGTGCGTCTCAGAGCAGGTGGAGGGTGTAGTCGTTGCAATGTCGGTCACCGATTCCACCGCAAATTTCCGTGCGAGGGCCATCGCGCTGGGGCTTGCTGAGGCTGTCCTGCAGAAGATCATCGACGGGGGTATTGACACGTTGGCCAAGTTTGCTTTTTCGTCTTCTTACACCCCTGGTGCTCAGGATGAAGGGCCTTTTCTTGATTCCATTTCAACTCTTCTGGGTAGGAGTGGTAGCGTGGGAGAATTATCAGTACTTCGACGCTTGTTCCATGAATCCTACTCGCTCACCTCGGCTGAGTTGAAGCAGTCAGTGGAGCGTGTTGAGGACGGGCCTGTCAAGAGATTGGCTCAGCCCGACAGAGCCGACCGGTTGGCCAAGCAACAGAAACGCTTGCCTGGGATAAGTATCAGAGGCCCCCTTGAGCCGTCTGATCGACTCGTGGATCGTTGCGTGGCGATCTATGAGGAAAACCGACTTGTCTACGTTGAGCTTTCAGCCTGCACCTCTAAGGAAGACGAAATCAAGCAGGCCACGCTCAAGGAGGACCGGCATCTTGTCGTAGAAAGCGGGGGAAATGTTCGACTCAAAGGCTTGGTGAACAACAAGATGGATGCAGACATTTCCTCTGATTTGCTCATGCGGTATGCTCTTACTAGGCGTGGCCTAGCGATGGAGCAAGCGGGAATCATCTCTTATACACTGCATGATGCCTGGACTGAGCAACTGCTCGCATGCCGCTTCCGAGAACCTCCGACAGGGTACAGTCGCGTTTCCTTGCAGCAGGTCATCCACGCCGACAGACAATTCTTCATCAAGCTTGCCGAGCTCACCCGAGAGGGAATACAGCTTCAGGCGACGGGTAGACCATGTGATGTGCACTTCGAGACAGCTCGTAATCACCCAGATGTGGCGCACCTAATGCAACCCCTTCTTGCAGCAGTGCCAAGGCCCGACCCCGCATGGACACCCCGCAAGGGCGATGGCAAAAATGGCAAGGGAGGTAAAGGTCATAAGGGTGGCAAAGGAAAGCGAGACACCGCTGCCATCACTGCTGCGATGCCTAAGGAGATTGCGGATGGAGGGTTATCTTTCACGCCTAAAGGGTACGCAATCTGTTGGGATTATAATCTCAATAGATGCAAGCGCAGAGTGACATCAGGAAGGTGCGACAAAGGGTTGCACATATGCTGCCGTGCTGGCTGCCTGAAATCTGGGCACTATTACGGCAACTGTCCAAAAGCAGGAGGTTCTTGACTAGGTACCTCAGGTCCTCTCGGTTCCGCCTCGCTTCAGGCCAGAGCCGATACGGGTATGAGCGTTGATGCATCCGGCGGTGCCTCCGCTGAAATCCTTTCACAACATTTGCTTGAGGCTGACAGATTGCCCGCTCCAGAGGAGATTGAAGAGCTCGTTAGCCTCTTGCCACACGGCGAGTTGACCGGCGAACGCCGGGGCAACACTGACAATTCTTGCAGCGCATTCCATAGCGGTGCTTTTGTGCGTGTCAAGGTGGGATTGCGGCGAAATTGCAAAGCTTTCCCAAGCACGACAAAGATACTAGCGAGAATTCTGCGGCATGCCCATCCCGGGCATGAATTTACTTCCTTGTTGCTGTCTGTTGACAACCAGACTTCATTGCATGCAGATAGCCAGAATGCCTTCATCCCAAACTTAGTTGTTCCACTAAACCGGTTTTCGGGTGGTGGGATTTGGGTGCAATCCGATGACGGCAAAGAGCGCTTGACAGTTGATGGTCAGGAGCTGTTGGGAACCACCTTGGATTTAGGGTTAGGTCCCGTAAGATTTCAAGCCAGGGCTCAGAAGCACCTCACGCTGAGCTGGGAAGGCCGGCGAATAGTCCTTATAGGATACTCGGTACAAGGAGGTGAGAAGCTTGACGACTCAGACAAGGTTGTGTTGCAATCCTTGGGGTTTGCACTTCCGTCGCAGTACCCTGCCACTGGCGACCCGATAGCAGAGCAGGCGTGTTTTGCAGACTTCAGGAATGGGACCAGCAGTCCGCCACTTCTTGAGCAAAGGCAAGAATATGAGCCACAGCACGTCGGCGATCCGTCGACGGGTCCAGTGCAAGGGATCGTTATCGAATTGTTTGCTCGTAGTGGTGCCCTGTCTAGGGTTTTCAAACAGCACGGGTTTGAGGTCTTCCCGGTGGATCGTGGGGGGCATAGGCTCCCTTTGTCCAAGTTGTGTGCACTTGATTTAGCGCAAGCGTCGAGTTGGACCTACCTTGAAGAGGTTCTTGAAACCTACCCTGTTCTTTATGTCCATGCTGAGCCACCTTATGCCACGTTTGGACCACAGCAGGCTTTCAGGCACTTAGTCAACGGGGTCACCAGCCCCTCGGGAGCCACCGACTCCAACGTTGTTGATCGGCTCGCGTTGGCTGATTCCATGGTCAACCACCTGTGCACTTTCTTGCAAAGCGTAGACAAACGAGGAATACCTTGGGCCTTGGAACACCCTAAGGCCAGCCTGCTTTGGAATCTGCCCAATGTGGAAGCATTGCCCTCAACTTCTGAGGTTGTTTACGATCTTTGTAATTTCGGGTCTTCCCTTAAGCTTCGCCGCCAACTTAGGACCAATTGCAGGGCTTTAAGGTCCTTGAACTGCTTGTGCAAAGGCGATCATTCCCACAGCCAAGTGGAAGGCGGAGTCGTCACACATCCGTCCGAATTCTGCAAACATGTCGTTCAGGCCGTTGCGCGGCACCATGGTTTGGCTTGCCCCGACGTGGCGTTGTCATCCACGCCAGTTGGTGTTGCCCAGCAGAAGCGAGGCAAGCCTGAAGCTTCGCTACTGCCCGAGTTCGGCAAGGTCTTGCAGGTGGATGTCGATCAGGTTCCGCCAGTGAACCACAAGCAGTGCCTCATACGTCCGTTGGGCGAGGTGCCAGCAGGATCCAAACTCATCGCCACATCTCTTCTCAGGGGTGATGCGGGTGGCGATGCGGGTAACGAAAGTAACTTTGGGAGTCTTTGCCACACCAGATGAGTTCGTTGATGCGGCTAAAGACTTGCTACATCCTTTTGCTGCTTCGGCTGTTCTGTCGCCTATTGTGAAAAGGCGACTGTTCGAAGCCTTGACCAAAGGTCCGGAATGGGTTCAGCGACAACGGTGCTCCAAGTTGAAATTGTGGCTTAGCTGGGCCAAAGAACTGCAAATTGCCGAAGGAGAAATGAAAGGCAAGCTTGACCCTGACATTGGCCGTGTGCTTCGAGGCAAGCGCTTGTTGCTCCTGAAGCGTATTGCTGATGATATGGACTGGCCTGACAAGGATTGGTTGAGCGAGCTCTTAGAAGGGTTTGACTTAGCTGGTAGTCAGAAGCACACCGGGGTCTTCAAGCGAGAGTTGCGACCACAGGCAAGGACCAAGGCTGATTTTCTTGATGCTAGCAAGTTTTTGCGACCGGCACTTCTGGGCAAGGTTGCCTCTGAGGGTCTGAACGAGCATTCTCAGGAACTTTGGGACAAGACCTTGGAAGAAGTGACGGACGACCTTCTTGAAGGGCCTCTGACGCAGGAAGAGGTTCATGCCAGACATGGTGACCATTGGGTCCCGGTTAGGAGGTTTCCGGTTGTACAATCTTCAGCGGGAAAAAGGAAGCTTCGACCTATTGATGATTTTTCGGAAAATCTAGTCAACGGTTCTTTTTCGTATGCTGATAAGATTGACTTGCGCGCCCTTGATGAAATCATTGCCATTTGCCGATGCTGGACTCAGGCATGCACTTCTGAGCATCAGTTCTTTTTCGCGATGCCTGACGGGCCGCCATTGGTGGGCCGTGTCCACCCTTTGTGGATCAACGGGGCTTGGGAACCTTTGCTTACTACGTTTGACTTGAAGAACGCTTATCGTCAATTCCCGCTATCACCAGGCAGCCGTGCTCATGCAATCATTGCACTGTTGGACCCGAGTAGTCTTGACGTGGGTTTGTTCGAATCCAAGGCGTTACCTTTCGGCAGCACAGCGTCGGTGGTTCACTTCAATCGAATGTCCAGGTTGTTTTGGAGGATCGGCCTTGAACTTCACTTGTGGTGGAGTAACTTTTATGACGACTACCCGGTCATGACGCCAACACTGCTTAAGGATTCCACCATGTCGACAATGATGCTCCTGTCCCAGCTGTTAGGGTTTAGTGCCTCCCTTGAGAAGTTGGCCCCTTTCTCTTCGGTTGGTTCGATGTTGGGCGTTGAAGTAGACTGCAGCTCAGCGCCCGATGCGATCATCCGTGTTCGCAACAAAGAAGGTCGTGCGAGCGAGGTGTGTGAGGTCATACAAGGATGCATTAAGGCTGGCGTCGTACGGCAGAGAGATTTCGCCCGTGTCGCTGGCAGGATTCAGTTTTCAGATTCACAAATCATGGGACGTACCGGCAAATTGGCTTTGGCCGAGTTGCGAGCCTCGTCGGCTAGGCACGCCGACAAGTTCCGTCTTGGCGAGCAGGAGGTCAGGGCCTTTGATTTCTTGGTCAGTCGACTGTCCTTTGGTGCTCCTAGGGTTGTGCCC